TCTTTAATACTTACTAGGGTTCTTGTTGAAAATGCCAGCTTGTCACTGTGCTAAGGAGGACAAAAAGAGCGAGAGGTGTGAAGAGAATTGTCCTGAGGCCAAATGTATTATCCACATCAATTGTACTGGGTAGCTTCTGTTCTGTTCTTTAACTTCACAAAACTCAAGTGGTCTGGTTGTAGCCTTATACCCCAATCAAATGCACCAGGGGGAAAATTTAAAGCTTCTTCTAAATACCACAATGCCATGTTTTATCCACACTTGAACCAGAATTTGAAAGGAGAAACAGTTTTATTCTTTAGGAATTAAGTATAGTGAAGCCATAGGAATCAAGGGAAGCTACCTCCACATTCTGGAGTTTACATTTTGTTTTAATGAGAGAGGTCACGCCCTTACAAGAGTCCTGCCTTAATAAATGATGCTTGAAATGTTACTCAGCTGGTTTTTAAAAAAGTGGGAGTAAAAGAGTGATTAAAAAGGAAATATACTAGATCTCAAGAAACCAAACCTATAAAAAAAAGTCTGAGTAGGAATCTAAAGGTTATTTTCTTTTCTTTCTATTATTCCCCCCCCCAAAAAAATAACTCTTCAATATGTAATACAAAGACAATATTTAGTACAAAGATAACCTTAAGAAATGGTTTATTCTCTGTTTAAAATATGAGTTATTTAAATGAGTTATTTAAACAGAGAATAAACCATTTCTTAAGGTGTTTCTGGCATGCTCAGGTATACTTGCTTTTCAGTTCAACTCTTTATCATCATAAACACAAGAAATGCATTAATTAATGCCCTTTGAACTGACCTTAAGCTAGGCACTTGTTCCTGCTATAAACATATTCTTAATAAAGACACTGACATGGATTTATATGTACAGATCACAAAGACAGGGCAGAAACATTTAATCAGATATGTAATAGAGAATGGAGTAACAGTTTATACCAGTCAAACACAAGTGCATGGAGTTAGTAGGAGAGAATGCTACTAGGCTGGAGCTAGAAGAACTAGATTCAAATCACTGGGTAGGAATATATATATATACATATATATATGTAGGAATTGCATTAAATAATCTCTAAGTTCCTTCCAAACTCTAAGAATCTGTGATTCTATTTTAAGATTAGGTAGCCAAGGAATGGGGACCAGGGACTACCTACTTAGGGTGATGTTCATATAGAACTGCTTCATCAAAGTGAGGAGACAAAGTTCTTGTTTTCTCCATTTGCCCTAACACTTGCTTACTCTACTTAAAACTACCAAGGCCAAACAATTGCTAGGTATTTAAGCCAAGAACAGCTAAAACTGAATAAGGATTGAAAAACATCATCTCTTGACATTACATTGTGTTATTTCATTCATGCATCTGTTTGATGCAAAATTATAAGCGTCTGTTTGATGTAAAACACTGTGCTATAGAGATTATACAAATGAACGAGCAATTGCTGTCTGAACTTAAAATCCAGTAGGTTGTCCTGCTCAATAAGGACACAGATAACCAAAATAAAATGGTGAAGATCCACAGGAGAGCTACAAAGTCCTACAAAGGAAGCATAGCTTCTGGCTTGGAATCCTGGCTCCCACTTAAATGTATGTGACTCTAGAAGAGGTTAATTTTCCTTCAGTTTCTCATCTATAAAATGAGGATATTAGTAGTACCTTATTCATAAGGTTGTGAGAGGATTCAATGAGATAATAGGATAAAAGTGACTTAAAATCATCTCTGATACACAGTAAATACCCGGTAAAAGTTATTATTGTCATTATCATGGGAATTCAGAGTGGTAGATTTGACTTAGGAAAAGGAATATAACTTTCATCAGGATATAGTGTTAGAATTGGGTGTTGAAAGATGGGTACATAGTTGGATAACTGGTACAGAAGAAAGGAAGAGGAAGGGGAAAAGAGAGGGATAAGAAGGAGAAAAATCCTTGCTATAGTAAGAAGTTCAATTTGGCTGGAGTAGAAAGTTCCTTAAAAGAAATGATGGCTTGAAAAGCAGTTTGCAGAAGCTAAATATTAATCACAACTTTCTTTTCTATTAGTTTTCCTTTATCCCCAGTCATGTTCTAGAAATTAGCATTGTAGTTAAAAACATATCAAATGTTGTTATTAATGCACTCAGTATTAAAGCCTATATGAGTAGATAAGGCCAAGCATCTAAATCCAAAAACCTTATGTGTTTTTTCTGACCCTTTCTGAAAGCAACCTGTCAAGTCTGAAAAGCACTAAGAATTCTTAAGTCGGAGAATCAGAAAACAAGTCTCAAGCTAGGTGAAAGTCACTTAACATCTCTGGGCTTCAATTTCCTCTTATGAAAACATATACTACTGTCACTTTAGGATAGATGGATAGAAGAAATATTGAGGTGGTAGGAAGGCCATTGCAGGGAGCAGAACACTTGCCAACCTCTTTGGCTGATACAAGACACAAATGCAACCATGGATGTAAGAGCACTTTACATATTTATATTATATAAAACATAAGATCTTTTTATTTTTGAAGTCATACCAACTTAGATCTGAATCCTACCTGATCCAGTCATTTGCTAGTTCTATGACCTTAAGGGAAAATAGCCAGAAACTGCTATGCTCTTCACACTATTGCTGGGCTTTCACCAAACAAACAGTGTGGATCCTGTAATGGCATATCCCCTCCCTGCATCAGTCACTCAGAAGCATATGCAGGTTCTAATGACATACATTTCAGAAACTCTTGTTTTTAACTCTCATTTTCCCTTCTGGGGCCATTTGATTTTGCACTTTATTTTTAAATGCCTCCAATCCCCACCCTCCACCCTTTTTTTTTTTTTTTTTTTCACGAGGCTGATCCTAAAAACTAATTAATCATAAATGTACCTCTTCCATCAGGCCTCCATTTACCTCCCTAAGCAGAAGGTCTTGACTTTTTTTGTATGCCCTGCTCTTTCTAAGTGTTCAACAAATGCTTCTTAAATTAATAATAACATTGAAGAGTCCACAACTTAACTGGCCAATATCAGAAACATCCAAATGCTGTTAGCTAAATCTGGACCCACATCAAAACTAAACTTCATTATGTGTTTTCAGGATGTTGTCTAATAACAGTAATATTTTTAATGTGTTGAGTAATATTTTTAATTTGTTAGGCACATCACAATCTTTTACATTTATCTGCATATATATCATTTGGTCCTCACTGCATCCTTGTCAAGTTGTTTTGGCAGGCATTATTTTCTATTTTATATGTGGGAACACAGACCCAGCAGGTCTGTGGTGGAGGAGTCAGTTAGAAACCAAGACCTCCACTTCCAACCCAGCAATCCTTTCATTCTAATACACTCCCTCTGGTAAATTCTAGAAACAGGCAGCAAAACAACCAAAAACTAAAGCAGTTTACCTTTTCATATGTAATATGTAAATGAATAGCAATGGCAAATGACAATGGGAATGTCTACTAATAAATATGTAATTAGCCTGGCGCAGTGGCTCACCACTCCTGTAATCCCAGCACTTTGGGAGGCCAAAGAAGGCGGATCACTTGAGGTCAGGGGTTCGAGGCCAGCCTGGCCAACATGGTGAAACCCCGTCTCTACTAAAAATACAAAAATTAGCTGGCCGTGGTGGCAGGCGCCTGTAGTCCCAGCTACTCAGGAGGCTGAGGCAAGGGAATCGCTTGAACCCGGGAGGCAGAGGTTGTAGTGAGCCAAGATCACCACACTGCTCTCCAGCCTGGGTGAGAGAGCGAGACTCTGTCTCAAAAGAAAGAAAGAAAAAGAAATACATAATAAGCATATCGATCAATTGACAAGATATTTTAAAATGTAGGCTCAATTAAATTTTTGTTTTTAAAGGATCCATGAGCCTGGCCAACATGGTGAAACCCCGTATCTACTAAAAATACAAAAGTTAGTCGGCCGTGGTCGCGCGCACCTGTAATCCCAGCTACTTGGAAGACTGAGGCAGAAGAATGGCTTGAACCCTGAAGGCGGAGGTTGCGGTGAGCTGAGATCGAGCCACGGCACTCCACCCTGGGTGACAGAGTAAAACCCTGTCTCAAAAACAACAACAAAATGGATGCATGCATGGAGGGCATGAAATATTTCCACTGTATTTCTGTTAATCCAACCTCAACCCCCATGAGTCCTCCACAAGGCCTACACTCAAATTATTATAAAGGGACTTCACTATTTGGAGCTGAGGATAGAAAGTAATGTCACAGAATGTGCAATGTAAGATTTATCCCACGTAGTATAAACTATAGATGGGAGTGAACTCCACTCTGCCCCCTATCTCTCCACACTCAACCCAAAGGGTGCTTCTGATGAACAGCTATCCAAAGCCTAAATTTACTCCTTATTTTGGACAAAGGTCAAATGTAATTATTGCTGATAAAATGTTGGGCTTTTTTAATCCCTAGGTTGTGATGACAAAAAAAAAAAATTTGCCTTGATAATATTCCAGTTTGTTTTTCTTGAAAAAGTCGATGAAGCAAAGAGGAAGTTACCTCTTAACTTATCTTTGATCAGCGCTACCAGTCATTTCAAGATCACTAGCTCAACCTTCCAGAAACGAACGGTTATGAAAGTATTCAAAGAGCGTCTCGGGCTTGGCACAAGTCCCTGTGCCAGGCAGGACGGAGATGGGGGTGTTCAGCCCCTAGTGTGCAAAGCACCCGACCGCAGGTCCATCCCACAGGTTGGCGCCCACGGGATAGCAGCTGGGCAGGGGCCCTCCGGCCAGTCCGCGGCCGCAGGGAGGATCTGTGCGGACATAGGCCCGGGGGCAGTGACCTTAACAGCCCCTCCACTGCCCAGGGAAGGCTCAGGATGGTCACGGGATTGGGATAGTGGCGTGACAGTCTCCAGGCGGCCCGGGGTGGGCACCGCCCGGGGCAGAGGCCAGTCAGCCCCTCCGGGACCCAGGAGAGGCTCAGCCGCGCGTGGGTCTGCCCTTTCCCCGGCGCTTGCAGTGACCCGCCCGCAGCGCATCTGGGGCCAGGCTCGGGCGAGCGGCCAGCCCTACCTCCTCGGTGGCCGTGGGACAGTAGGAGATGAGCACGAGCGTGGTGACCACGTTGACGGCGAGCCCGAGCAGAGTGATGGAGTTAGGGGCCATCCAGAGTGGGATCCACTGCAGCAGCCAGGTCCAGTAGAGCTGCAGCGGCGGCTCGAGCAGCGAGACACCCGACGCGCTGTAGCGGTGCTCCTCCAGTCGCCGCAGCTGCGCCGCGCTCAGCGG